AACACACTCACACACACACACACACACACACACAGAAATGAACTGGTAAGACTGCAACAGAGCAAATTTTGAGAATATTCAATGACTGATTGAAATCATAATGCGAAACCTGATATTTATCTAACCAAAAATATCTAAAACTTGACAAAAAGTAGTCTTTTATACTAAACCTTTTATTAGGTTTTACTTTTATAAAAGTAAAACCTAATAAAATGAAGAAATTAGATCTAAAAAACAATGGGAATCCAAAGGCCTCTGTGTATATGTATATAGCGAACTATACAGGAGATTACATGACATTAAACACGTTTTTATTGTATTTTTATGCCACCAGATAGCACAATTCTCACTTCAAAAAATGTATTTTAAATGTTTTCACTCTGTTTTAACATTAAATATTGCATTTATTGAAAAATAATAAATAAATAAATAAAAATATATTAATTATAATTAAAAAAATAGCTCATTAAAATTGTATAAATATTGCATCGTATCAAAAAACCCCCCACAAAATTCTAAATAATAATTAAAAAAATATTATTAAACAAAAATGTATTACACTGATTTTCCTGAAAAAAAAAAGTTACATTTCAAGGCTTCGGTCACTTTTGACCGCGAAGGAGCCAAGTGTGACCCCTAAACGAAGAGGCCCAGAGGTTAAAGAGTTGCAAAAACTATAATGTACTCATCATTTATTCATGTTCTCCCAATACTGTACAACTTTGTACTGTGCAGCACAATAAAGATAAAAGCTGACAGTGGCCAGCAGCTGTCAAGCAATAAAAAGTGCAATCAATGTACCATTAAATTGTTATATGGAAATTAGCTGCTTGGACATTCTGCAGAGTGACTCCTTTGTGTTCCACAGGGAGGGAGGGAGAGTAAATGATGCCGTTCTTTGGGTGAATGTCTACAAGAGGGATTATAAGACACCTTAATATTTGTTCCCATTACCTCTGTCGTGAGCAACAGTTCTTCTTCACAGCGTTGCTCATAAACCAAAATTCATTCAATTACAGCATCAGCATTAGGATGAAAAACGTTACAATGCCCCAAACAAGCATTAGATGGCAGTACTTCACAATACAGACACCAATATGTTACTGTTCCAGTTACGAGCATTACATCACTGTAAGAAACCCATATGTTGATACAAAACTTTAAGTTTAAAGTTTGGTGTCATGTTTTTAAAAGAAGTCGCTTATGTATGTATTTGATAAAAAATACAATAAAACAGTAAAATTGTGAAATATTATTATAATTTAAAACAGCAGTTTTCTATGTGAATATCTGTTAAACAGTAATGTATTTCTGTGATGCGCAGCTGTATTTTCAGCATCAATACTCCAGTCTTCAGTGTCACATGATCTTCAGGAATCATTATGATATTCTGATTTGCTGAATTTCTGATTATTATCAATGTTGAAAAAAGTTGTGCTGCCCTTTTTTTTTTTTTTTTTTGTGGAAACTGTGATACATTTTATTTTTTCAGGATACTTTGATGGTTAAAAAGTTAAAAATAATTTAAAATAGAAGTGTAAATGCTTTTGCTGCCACTTTTAATAAATGTAATGTGTCCTTGATGAATAAAAATAGTAACAAACACGCGTCCGCCGAATCCAAGGGAACTAGACGGCGCAATCCAAACCCTCTCCCAAGCATTATCTGTAAGTCTCGGGCCCATCTGCTCCGCCTCCATGCTCCATGCTTTCTCTCATAGTCGGCCCCGGAGCCATTAGCGCGGCTCGGCATCTGCCGCTCACACCTGCGGTGGCCTGCGCTGGGGTTGTGGATGGCCGATGCCTGTGGCAGTGCTCTCCTCCGCAGGACTCATCGCTCATACGGCTGCGTGACCTTCACTGGAGCCGCTCCAAAGGATGTGTGCTTATTGTGACTCTGGGCATCATTAAGAGAACAGAGAAGACAAATAGACGTGGGAACGCTCAATAAATCAAACCATTACGATATTTGTGAGTTAATGCATACATTATTTTAATTATCCCTCCTGGGTTTGGCGCTTGCATATTTTTAAACAGGAGGGCAGCTTTGTCGTTTGATAAGATCAATGTGTGGTTTGTGGGCAGTTTCTTCTGGCGTGCTTTATCAGGCCGTTTGCAAATTGATCATTCCAACCGTAATTTATAATTATGTTCAACAGAGATCAGTCACACGCAGGACGACCGATGCAATTTGATCAGCATGTTCTGCAATATCACTTTTCATGTTCATTTGTCATAATCGTTACTGATGTCCTCGCACATAATTCAATTCCAGTTCATAGTTTTAACGTTGTTACGATTCAGCATAAGACATGACAGAAAGACAATGAGATTCAAGCGGCTGGCAGAAATGATACGGAGCGCTGTACGTGTCTCCTCTCTGACACAATCACACGTAACTTTCATTTCGCTCTCCTCGCGGGATGACGAATCAGAATCGGGCCTGTTAGGGTCTCCCGGGAGCCCAGAGCCAATCAAAATCAAATAACCCCAGATTGAATTATTTCACTAGTTTTATTGCATTGTATTTCTCTGCTGGGATGAAGCTGAGTTTTTGCTCTGAAATCAACACGGATTTGAACAACTCAGATGCTGAGTGAAATTTTTCCGAAGATCTTCCCAAGCAAAATCACTCCGAATGAGCCATTTTTGGCCTGTGTTTTAAATAAACAACACCTTCTCACACAAAGGTTTGTCTTAAACTGAGACAAGTCTCGCTTAGAGCGTCCAGCAGATCGGCATTTATCACGTTAACATTTGCAGACTATCGTTTAATGAAATGCGGAGCTCAAATAGAGCTCTTGAGAGTCAGCGCAGACTGAAGCAAAACACAGAGGTGCGCGGCGACAGCGATGTGGAGCCATCTTTAGAGCGCTAGCTTAAGGTCGTTAGCGTCCACAGAACAACTCCGGGGAAATTTGATGGATTCAGGAGGGCATTTGCCCTTCAAGTCTCTGCTCTTTGCTGCAGGCTTACCCCTGGTTAGCTTTTAATCTAATGCCAACTGTCTACGGTCCAGAAAAAATGAAAATATCGCCGGTGAAAAATGAGTATTCCCTTATCAGAAAAATGCTTGGCTACATTTATTGGGCCTCCGAGGATCCCGTATTTACCCTCCTAGGAGAAGTGAACAGAGCCAATTATGCCAGAGTGATTTACCAAAGCCGTATATATTTCTCTTTTAGAGACTTGTTGGAGCTCATGTTTCAAAATGTTTATCTCGGGACAAACAGCGATGGTTGATTAGAGGTTAGCCCTGAGATAAGAACAGAGTACACCTACTGCACAGACTAGAGTCACAAAAGTGAAATAAATTTGATTGCAGTTGAATATTTGAGCAGTCAGTTCAGTTTTTTTTTTACATTCTCAAAATGTTAGCACAAAAATGCTAGTAGAAGGTCTAATGTGGACTATCAAAATAAAGTGTTACAGAAACGTTTCAGTATTTGTCTAACGTTCCATTAATGTTTGCAAAATGATAACATTTAATTTTTTTTACGTTCGCAAAAACATACTAAAATGAATAAAAAACAGTCAGAAATAATGATTTTATAACTTCATGGAAACGTTAATGTTCTTAGAACATATTTTTGTTAGCCCAGAAACAGCGGATGATGTATTTTAAAAAATGGTTTATATAAAAAGACAACACTGGAGCGTCAAATGTGATCTCATCGCTCTTTCAAATACATCTTTATTCTTAATAGTCAACGATTTAAGGCAGTGTTTTCAACCCTGTTCCTGGAGGCACACCAACATTACACATTCCCAACTCTTCCTAACTGAACACAGCTGATTTAACTCATCAGCTCATTAGCCGAGAATCCAAGACCTAAAGCCTCCAGAAACAGAGTTGGGAAACATTGACTTAAGGTTTGTCTTATGCACTATTCCATTGGTGTGAGTAGCATATGAAAATTCCAGTAAGAAAAAGTGCACTTCAAATATCCGCATTATGCGCTTAATTAACTGAAAAAACGATGTATGGAGTGTTGGACACTTCATGCACTCAGCTGTCACAGCTTTAATTACGTAGCTGAAGGAGCATAGCTATCAGACTCGGATGCAAAATAACCTTATAAAATCCAGACGCTAGAGTACATACTAGTGCGTAGTGTATAGTGCATCATGTGAGACACAGCTTTAGACTTTTTTTGAAGATGTATGTTTCATGGCAATGCCTTGAATGTTTATTAAGCATAACAATGGGGCAATATGAAAATCCATATTTGTTGTAATTAGGACATATGGCAAACACATACAGCAAAAAAAAAAAAGGTTTATGTACACTAACATAACGTATACTAATTACACTACCAACACTATAGTGATATCATATCCAGATCTGGTGCACTCATGTGGAACGCTCTGGACTGAGGTTTTGCTGATCAGGCGTTCTGTAAAGGTTACCGTGTGAGTCTCTGAGAAATGAAACTTGACATTAGTGTAATGTGCTGCATTTTATCACCTCACATATTAATTAAGAGGCTAATTCCAGAAATCTATTACACTAGTGCTTTCCGTTGACTCAGAACTCTTTGCAGCTACAGTTAAGTGTTGAGCCCTAACAAACTGCACACGGCAAGTTACTAACTTCACACAGGATCAGTCCACATCTCAGAAGAACACGGAGTACAAAGCAAATGACTCTCATTCATGTCAGCCATGTCCTTAAAAGCCCCTCTTATCGGTCTTGTGATGAATAGTTTCTGGATATCATCTTATGGAACACATCAATATTCCCCTCACAAAGACCTTCATTGCTGTGTCTTGCCTATAAAGTATGGGAAGGGTTTTACTCTAAAGGGAAGCAGCTGCTTTGTAAATTATGGGTCTTTCTGCACCATCCATTTTACATCCTCCATCTGGGAATGCTGCCAAAGCAGGAGGAGAGGGAATGTGCGGTGTGACTGTGTGTGAAGGCCTGTATTCCAGAGAGCTGTGGAGAGGTGTGAAACACAAACGCTCAGCCATGTGGGTCACAGAGGCGGTTTTGTCTGAACTGCAAGACCACCTTGACTGGGGGGAATTCAGTAAGTGCTGCTTATTTGCACATGCTGTCCGTGTGCTTTTAGCCCCTGATTCACTAAAGGAATTATGCAGAAAATTCCAGCTGAATGCAATTTGAACGGCAGGAGGATGCAGCACACGATCTGATGGCTTTATAGGTCTGTGTGATCAGCTGCAGAAAGTGCGTTCGAATGCACTAAACCTCTACAGATGGTCCTCTCCACCATTTGATCATAATTCAACAAATTACTGTTGAAATGGCTGAAGAAAATGTACACAAACCTTGCAGCTGCGCTAAAGCCCCGCCCCCTGCTTTATAAACTGTACATTTATACAGCCAGCAGTCAGTGAAATGTGCTCACAAAGTGGTAAAAATTGATTGGAAATGATTCTTATGTGGGCAGAAATGAACTGTGGCATTATAAACAATTTTCATTTCTTGTTTTTCATTAAAGAAACTATTATGCAGTATGCAGTATCATAAATGTTAAAAACTGGAGAGATAGTTAACCAAAATCAAGACAAACACATCTCACAGCTAATGGCTCATTCCTTAATTGAAGGTAGATAAATGTCAAACACAGAGGGCTTCCATCAAATAATAAAGGATCAGGTGCATTAGGAAAATTACATTAATTTTTAACGCATGGCACAATTATATACAAGCAAATTAACATCTGGTCAAATTAGATTGTGATTTGTAAATTTAAGTTTTTACCAACATGGGCTCACTGTGGAAAAAAAAAAATAATGTCACTGTATACATACATTTCACTGCAGTTTCCTGCTGCAATGAACACTAGTGCAGTAAAACACCAAAAACTTTTCACAGAAATTATAATTTTAGGGGCAGATTATCAATTAATAAAGACTTATTTTTGTGTGGTTCCTCAGAACTCTTTTACCATAGTGCATGATTTGTAAACTAGTACACTTTGATGTTTACATCACATAACCAGCTCCATAAGTGTGACTTTTCTTTCTTGTTCGGTAGCGCACCCGGTACAGCATTGCACTGGTGATGTGAAGCATCGGGTACAAATCCCCTGAAACACAAGTCATGATAAAAGAGCTCAAAGACTTGTAGAAGCCAGATACAATGACATGCAGGTGCTATGTTATTTTCAAATGTATAGAGCATTAACCCTTTAGAGCCACTCACCTAACATTTCATTTTCAAACTTCCGAGATACATACAAAAACCAACGTATACAAATATTGCCAGATTAACGGTCATCTGTTTTGAATACAACTGGACACACTGTCAGCACCACTCACTGGACGTTTCACTTTGAGACGGCAAAGTTTGCAAGCATTAACATAGAAATGTCACCAAAGACATGTTTTTTCCATCTGTATTCGTCACAAATGGCATACTTTTATCAACTTCCTTGCTGGGGGTCTATTGTTTTTAAATGACTGGAGCAAAGTGATTATCATGACATTCGGTTGTGTTGTGAATCTGGAATGTCCGGACGGAACAACCACACATGGGGATAGTTTTAACATGCATGATTTAAAAGTTTCCACATAATGCTAGCATGACGAAACTTAATTTCTTGACTAGTTGCCATATAAACATTATATCTGTTAGTTAGCCGTTCATGTTTTTGTTTGTTTGTTTAGTATTTAGTTGGGATCAAAGGGGGCAGGCATGCTTACTCAAAAATATTGAAAGAATCTTTAATGGAGAATGGAATTAGTACGTTCAAATTGGTTAAATTCCTTATGATTCCCAATTATATTTCCCTCTGTCTCTTCATCCATCCATCCATCCTCTGTTCCTCTCCTCCAGCCTTTCGTCTCTGCCGCACACAGCAGATGCTGCACTCGTTCGAGTCCTGGGGCTCCAGCTGCCCGATCCCTCCTCCCGCCCGTTTATTCCCTCCTCTCTCCATTACCACATCCCTCGGTAGGATAAACCTGGCCAGGGCTAATTGCAATCTCTGTCTAATGGTGACAGGCTTAATCAAGCATGATGGGTTCACCTCTTTTGCTTTGGTTCCCCCTCTCCCTCTTTGTCTCTCTCTCTCCGGCTCCTCGTGGTTCTCTGGCTGTTGTCGCAGGCCGTCCTGTCAGCTGCCAGATGAAGTGAGTGCTGCGGTCGCATGTGTGGGCAGGGCTGCGGCCGCATATTGAGCACAAATTGGGCGAGATGCCACAGTGAAGGAGTGGGACAGGAATCCACACAAAGCATCCACTCATCTATTATACAGAAGAGGAACGAGTAAATGCAATACTCTCCAGGCCGAGTGGAGAGAGAGCGAGAGGATAGAGTAGAACATTTGTTGTGCATGTTTATGAAGAAGGTTGTAGTCCTTTGGAGCCGTCTGTGGACCATTGCCAGCGTGTGAGAGCGGTAATGAGAGCATGGACCTCGTGGAGCCGTTGGACTGAAGTATTTCAAAAGCAGCTTCCATTCACTCGTTCAGATAAACACTCGGTCCTTCCCGTGTTATCGACAACACGGACGCCATCCTGAGCCACTGGCCTCTGTCAGCATAATGCTTTTGGAGAGGAACTTGTTAATGCCGAGCAGCGCTTCAATTTTCTCTAGCGTTCATCCACCTGCTCCAGTAATGAGAAGTGTAGCAATGTGATCTGCAACTTGAAACTGTTGCTTGTTGTGTCCAACAAGTCCAAATGTGACAATTGGACCATTGTCTGGGGAATAAGTGTTATGGAGTGGTTTGAAAACGGCTTTTGTTAGGATCTGTTGAGGAAATTAAACTGTTGAATGAAGTAGGGGTATTTCTGATCTACATAAAGCACACAGACACACTAAGTGCTGAATATTTAGTTTTGCACGTATCACTGATGCCAAACGCACATGCGAGACAGAAGTTCATATCATGGTATCTGTGACTAGTTGGATGCTGATGGACATCAACTTTTGGATGAAATCTGGGACTTTTGGGATCTGGGAAAATTTTGCAGACAAAAAAAAAGGTCCACTGTCTGTTGTCAGTAGTGTAACAGTTGTTGGTCAATGTGGCAAATCTGTGTGACCAACTTGAACGTGTTGCAAAGGCTTTGTAGGGAATCTTTTGCCCTCATGTGGAATTCCAGATTGCACGGGTTCCCCATTGAAACGACTGGGTTTCATTCACGAGAATTCAAGAACAATGGTAAATGTGACCGCGCTTTTACAACATGAAAGGATGATGCAGCGTGCATTAGTCTTACAGTATGTGATAATTCCTGGTCATTCCTGTCGTCAATCCTGAGCTGCAGTCCTGAACATCTTCTGTCTATAACATCTGGAGAAGTTGATTCTGTGTGACCCTGACTGAACACCGCAGACACCGAGGAACCCCTGTGTTGATCTTTGGAGTTCAGAGAAGACACTCTGGAAACAAATTGCAATATACAGTTTTTCTTGAGTAATCTGAGAACTTTAAGACATGCTGCTGTGCTGCTCTACTTTTATTATCAATAAAAATGGCAAATATTTGGAGAAAAGAACACATTCCTTCCTTCCAAAACTAGCTCAGTTCTGATTTAGCATCGCAGAGCTATTCCTGCCACTTTATGAATCCAGTTTCTTCATAATACTAGTAGTAAGACTGCAGTGCGACTCATCTGTTTGGGGTAAATTTGTGTCATTTTTCGTACTGTAGAGATGGATGGTGCTGTTGTCACACAACTGCGATCGAAAGCAGGATCTAGAGAGAACAATCACTGCAACATATTGAATTCATTAAAACATACAGGACTGTGTTTCCCAAAAGCATCAAACACCTAAGTAGATAGTAGAAGTAAAATTACATCTACACTTAAAACACATTTTATCCTAATTGCTCTTCTGTATTAATAGCATCTATAAACCCAGTTTCTGAACACTGAAGCACAGGTTTGTAAATGTTTGAGTTTTTGCAGTGTAGTTCCAACAAATGCTCTATCTGGACTGGAAAGGACGTTTTGAGCTCTGAACCGTTCATAGTACAATGAACTCAAAAGATCTATGAACTAGAGTAAACCGAAATCGTTCAGGTTGAATTCTCCTTTAAGAAGCATGCCATCACACAGGAGGTGTTTTGCTCTGTAGCTCCTGTCCAGCTGTGTAAGTTCTCCTCCATCTCTCCTCTTCCCCACGGTGAGATGTTTTCCTCTGAGCAGCGAGGAGGCGAGCACGGATCCACATGAACAGTAATAAAGCTGTAGTGAGAGCCCTGCAGCTCATCTGATTGCCCAGACAGAGAAATTAGTGAGATTAAACAAGCCTCTCTGAGCTGATTTGCTGTAACATTTCACCTGAGGAAGAGTTCGTATTTACATACAGCACATTATTTCTGTCTAGATCAGAGGCCGATTAAGCCATAAAGCCCTTATTTAGACTCAAACCGAACACAGATTTATGAGCTCTGTGTGCACAGTCCAGACAAACACAGTGTGCTAAATTAAGATGAAGCGTTATACATCTACTGCTAAATCTGGAAGACCAGCGTCTTCAGTGTTTAAGCAGATGGAGCAGGACTGTGGGACCCTGTTAGATATCGTGCAAATTTGACTGTTGCATTTTAATTCTGACCCTTAATAGCATGCATACATACTGTATATAGTGCCATTTTGATTATGCAATTAACCCTCATGCTGGGTTCCGGTTCATGTTGGGTATATGTCTTGACATGAAGAGGATACTTGTACTAAAGTTCAGCTAAATGTTTAATTGGCCCTTTCACATTAAAATGCATTAAGTAAAGCTGAAATATACAAGTGTATGGCTCTGTACATCAGTACATGTAACCCTTGTGCTGTTCTGAAAGTCCTGATTTGGTGCTCCTTGTCAAAAATGACCGTCCTTTTAAAAATTGCTAAATTTCTTGTTATGCTATATTATTAAGTCTTCTACCAAGAAACAAATGCATTTTCACCATGTTTTAGGAATACAATGCTGTATAAAATCAGTCGAATGATATACTGTGTGAACAGACCCCTCAGTAAAAACCTTCAGAATATAGATGGGAATAAAACTAAAATTTGGTGTATGTAAGTGCTACTGAAGTTGAGATAAAAACTACTTTTGAGAAAATAGCATTAAAGGGTATGTTTTGGAATTTAAATCTATAGGTGCAAATAGATAAAGCAGAAAAATAAATAAATAAACACATGCAAGTGTAATTTGGATGTTTTGTGTCAAATATTCCAAATATTCCAATGGAAAAAAAAAAAAGCATGAAAAAAACATGTTTGCAGTGTCTCGCCTTAAGCTATTCAGCTTAGTTTTATTGCATGACTTCACAGTTCATGGTCGTGCTTTTTTTGTGACATTATGATGCTTTTTTGAAACTCAACATCATCATTCTCTTTTACTTTCACTGAGTAAAAAGAGCAGCATGGACATTCTATTAAACATCTGTTGTGCTCTACAGAACAAAAGTAATACAGGTTTGGAACAACACAAGTAAACGATGACTGAGTGCTCCTTTTTGGGGAACTACTAACCCATTAAGTCTCCCGAGCTATAAAAGAGCAACCTCTGTGCAATGAACATTTATTTGAGGTACAGAAATAAATATAAAACTCCCTCCCATGCGTTGTCTTTCTTAGACACTCAGATGTGTCTTTTAGAGCAGGTCAAGGCAAAAAGGGACCCGCGCTAAATAAATGAAGCTCCTGTGTGACCCGAGCGCTCTCGTGTCCAGACGGAAGCGGTTTGACTAATGCTGACCAGCTGCCCTTTCTCATCTGATTGAACTGGAGCGGTGTGAGTGAGGTCACTGTATCCTTGTCCAGGCCTATAATGTCAAAACAGCAATCATTGCAGACAAATTGCTGGAGATAAAAAAGAAAAGCTAATTCTATTTTTGGCCTGACAAGGACGATGGAGGAAAAGGGGAAACAATGAAGAAATCAAACATGGATCATCAATGTCTGTGACAAACCGCATGTTCTAAAAATAAGACAAAGTAGCTCCTCGCTTTAATGTTTGTGCTTCTCACAGCAGAGGCCAGAGCCGGTATAAACAAATATCCCATGATGTGTATCCACATGTCGTGGGATAACCACTACATGTATTCCGCTGTCCTGACTCTACAGAAAGCATGAGATGAAAAATGAGAAAATCTGTTACAAATACAAAATACAAAACACTACCATATCATTCAACTTAAGGCAAGACACCCCAGGACAACTGGGTAAAAAAACAACAAAAAAAAACGAAAACTTTTTTTTTATGTAATATGTTTTCTGAAATGCTATATTTAAATAAGCAAATTAGGCATTATCTAATTAAATAAGCACTAATTTGCATTAAGTTAGAGAAAATCCTGTCAACAGTCAGAAAAAATAAACTGTCACTTTTTATTCCAAAAAAATAAATAAAAATGTTGTTTAAAATCAGGGAAATCATTTATGAACAAGCCCCTTTGTAAAAAACCTTCAGAATATTGATGAGGAATAAAACAGTTTGGTGTATATAAGTACTGCTGGAGAGAAAAAAATAAAATAAAATTCGCAGACTTTAAAGATATGGAGTGGAACTGAAGTCTACAGGTGCAAATAGATAACATGCAATAAAAGCAGTGTATTAAAGTTTATGTTAGATGTTTTCCTTCCTATAGCTTGAAATAACACTTTATGAAAAGCCAAATAGACCAAAATATCAAAATTCTGTGTTTTTGTCTGTAGTGTCTTGCTACAAGGTGTCTCAGCTGTTTTGTACAGATCACATATAGAGTTAACTGTTTAATTCTGAAAAAAGAAAAACAAAATCTTCTCATTTTGTGGTTTATTAGGGCAACAAACAATGCTTAATTTTTAGCACCCATTTTTTTTTTCTCTTTGAGGTGGTTGCGATGTCCATTAACGATTAATTTGTCGTTCCCTTTCAGTTGGTCACTCCGAGTCACGTCGGTGACCGATGAATTGGGATATCACTGCGATAGACCAATCTACTTCGAGTGTAAACTAAACGAGCCAATGCACATTGGCATGCAATTATTGCATCCAGCTGCCGCTGATCACAACGTGAGTATAATAAGGCAGCAGGTGCAATGCATACCAGCTTTTCGCTTCGGAGCCGAGCGACAACATCATTCTGCTCTATATTCATTTCGAGAACTACAAGTTCAGCACGCTCTTGGAAGCTTTCTGTGTTGGCGAGACGGCGCTTCAGCGGTGGTCGTTCCAGTGTCGAGTGGGTTGCGCACTTCAGGCTGCACTACCCCCTGTCGTGTTGCAAGCGGCCATCTCCCCTGTGCGCCTCAGCACTAAAAGAGCATTTCCTAAA